CAGATAGACACTCAACAGTTGCGGCCTTCTACTGCGCATTGGTGCAAGGACCAAGGACGTGCAGAAGGCGTAACTTGGGCCATGGCCTAAGAGGCTGACAGCCCTGGTTGGAGGGATGACATCGAGATGTACGTAGCTCAAAAGCTTTGTGTTCTATAAGACCTAGAGACCAGACCACCAGTAATCAAAACTCTGATAACTAGGAAGATTTTGACGTGGGAATAAATGGACTTGTCGAAAGTTGTTATGTAGTCGACACGATAAAGATTCCCAATCAAAAGTCAGGGAAGACAGTTTGAGTTGGACAACCTTTTACTGCCAGAGAAAGTGCGTACACAAGGTTGGCTCTGTAGGCAGTCGCCGCGAGCGCGCTCCAAGCAAGCTGTTGTCTGCGTCCGCCCTCGGGGTGTTGTGAGCGCGTGTGCACCCTTTGTTGTCTCCACGTTCGCCAGCCAATCAGAGTGGGGACGGCGTTGATTGGCTTCGAGCACTCACGCGTCCCAGTAGCGTATCGACACGGAGTGTGCGGCGGACAGGACGGCAGCGTGACAAAGGCGGAGGGCGAGGAGACGCGAACTGCCACAGTACCCCCGGCTAGACCGAAGGCGGCGCGAAGCGATGCCGAAGGAATTGCTGATGTCTAAAAAACATGAGTAACCAAACGGTCAGTAAAATGAACATGGCGTCCACTACGGGTGATATATACAGCAGGGGGCACGGGGGTAGAGTGAGTATGGCTCGCGGTTACAGTGTTGTTAGTTGATGAAGGAGTAGTTGCAGTTGTGGGTTGCCGACATGGGGGCAAAGGAAGTATGCGGAACGGAGGGGTAGAGGGCAAGGGAGGGGAAGGGCAAGGCAGTGGGCAGGGTGAACGAGTAGGGGATAGGGATGATGGAGGAACAGGGGTTAGGGGGTCAGCACATTTTTGTCCTTGTGACAGGTCCGGCGGCTCCTCTGCGACAGCAGCCTTGACCCGATCGACACTGACCACGTCCTCCTTGTCACTGCGAAGGATCCGGAAGGTCTTGGTGTTGCGCGCGAGCACGCGGAACGGTCCTTCGTATGGTGATTCCAGCGGCTGGCGCACACGGTCACACCGGACGAACACATGAGTACACTTGTCCAAGCCTTTTTCGACATAAGACTCAGTCATTGGAGTTCGAGGTGGAATCGGGGAAAGCGAGCGCATAAATTGCCGCAAACGGTGCACAAGATTGTCAGGAGTCTCGTCGGCTCCACGAGAGGTTGGGGTGATCATCTCGCCTGGCAGTCGGAGGGTAGTGCCGAAAACCAATTCAGCTGCGCTACAGCCCAGATCCGACTTCAGAGCAGCGCGGACGCCGGGGAGTGCAAGAGGAAGGTTGTCCGACCAGTTTCCTGGGTCTTCGACGGCACGCAGAGCGGTCTCTAGATGGCGATGCAAACGTTACACCATACCGTTGGCAGCTGGGTGGTAGGCTGTCGTCCGAATGCGTGGGCAGCCAAGGAAATTGAGTAGCGTTTGGAAGAGTGCCGACTCAAACTGGGCACCACGATCAGTCGTAACCGTGGATGGGGCACCGAACATGGCGACCCAACGACTGACGAAGGCCTTCACGATGGTTTGAGCCTGAACATTCGGCAAAGGAATAGCTTCAGCCCAGCGAGTATATCGATCGACACAAGTAAGGAGGTAGGTGAAAACATTGGATGGAGGCAAGGGGTCTACGACATCCAGATGCACATGGCTGAACCGTGCGTCGGGACTGGGAAAGGTACCTGGTGAGGACTTGGTGTGACGCTGCACCTTGTTGCGCTGGCAGCTCAGACACGACCGGGCCCAAGCTTTGACGTCCTTGTTCATGCCAGGCCAGACAAACCTTTCCGCGAGGAGCTTTTGAGAGGCTCGGTGGGAGCAGGGACGTTGACTTGCGCAGGGGTTTTTAGTGCCGGTAGACTTGCGCTGCATCTACCTACGCTCTCTCCTCCTCCCTCGACCGAGCCCGGTGTCAAGACAGAGTCAGGAAAACCGGAGACGAGGGCGGCCAGAGGTGGATGGCTCGGACGGATCCTCAACTTGGCTTTCCACCACACCCCCTGGTCCACACAACAAATAACCAGGATTTTAACCAACACAACCGAGACCGGAGGCTGACACAGCCGAAGCCGCACCTAGGCGTGCCGCCGACGCCTGGCTCGGATCCCACACAGTGGGAGTGACATAAAGGCCACATTAAGAAGGAGCCATTGCAGCCTGACTCTCATACCTCCAGTCCAGGATGAGGTCCATGTTATACCGTCAGTTGGCAACCTTCCAGGCCACGGATTTTAGCGCCAAGGAGGCCAATTTCGTCGATACAAGGATACTCTGAAGTCCTGCCTGAAGCATCTGCAAATTAACCCGACTAACTGGGAAGAGCTCGTCCTCGACCGACCGACCTGGAGGAGAAAAGTGAAGACAGGCGCTGCGATCTATGAGGCCAACCGACTCGCCGCTGCCAAAGTGAAACGCGAAGCACGCAAATCACAGCTACGCCCCGTCCGTAACGCCGACGTACAACCGCTTCCAAAGTGTCCTCGGTGTTAACGGACATTTCGGGCACGAACTGGACTCATCGGACATCTTCGGACCAACTGCACCTCCCATACCGCACCAATCGCCGCCCCTCCGCCCGCCTCTGCATCGTCCTCTCCACCGTTAACCAACTATGACAATTCTTCTGAACCAGCACTTCCGCCCTCCCCCTCCTCCTACACCTCTTCCCCCGCCTCTTCCTCCTCCTGCCCCATTGCACCAACCACGGCCGCGCTGGTGGCCCACACTCACACCAGCATCACACACATCTATGACACAACAACAGACACCATCCCTCCAATCTC